TACTATAAACGCCATTCCTTGGTGTTGCAGAATCAGCTGGTCTGCTGAGCATTGGCACTAATATCCTGTTTTAGGGTGGCTCCTTTACTTTGCATGGTCCTATGGAACCACCCTTGTGTGTGCTAGTAAACTGTCTGTATATCTTCACAAACACACAGGCACAGCAAGGCAAAGCACTCTCCTGCTCCCTGATCTACATTTCTTCCTCTTCCCTTCTCCATGCTAGTAGATGGAGAGCTGCTGGAGACTGCACTATGCCTTGTGAACTTGCACTGGACAGGAAGTCCAGGAAAGTGAAGCTGAGAGACATGGAGCCAGCTGTTTGGGAACATGATGTTTGTAAATGCTTGGGAAAATATTTAAAGAAATAATTTGGTGGGCAATATGTTTTTATGATCCGGTATCATTATTGAAAAAGGTTTGAGAGATTAATACTACTTTAAATCAGGCCCAAACACTGTTAGACCCCATTCACACTGGGCGATTTGTAGCACGATTTCCACTAAAAAAATCACTCAATTTAACTTGTCCAATGCATTTTAAAGGAGCTATTCACATCTCACAGCTCAGGGCCGATGCACCTAGCGGTTGTGTTCGAAAGGACGGACGGAATCGCGGCGGGAAACAGCAGGATCTGCCCGGTGCGACTGGGGTGCCATTGGAAAATAATGCCACCCACAGTGCGATCGGTGCACACCTAGGCGACTTGATTTTGATGTAGCTCAGTGTGAATGGGGTCTGAGTCAATAGGCTAAACTGTATCACTATGTGCTATGCTATGTTCAGCTACAGCATTCTCTGATTACCCTTATATACAAAGTCAGCATTAGATTACTAACCGCTACACATAACCCATAACATTTGTTGTATAATCCATCTTTTGATTGATGTCTGCTTGATTTGGTTAGAATTTGGCACAGATGGCTCACTTTATGACAGAAGTCATTTAGCTTCTTGTTGATGGTGAATATGAGATGAATATGCCTGGTATGTGAGACAAACATGGGATAGCTATGCACTGTATGCAGTGCTTTCTAGGTAACATTGTCAGGCATGATACATTTTAGTAGACATGCTCAAGATATCTGGTTTCTATGGAGACCTTAAAATGATTTTATAATGTTTGTGCTTGTTGAATGCATTTAAAAATAGCATCTGTCACTAGCAATGTTCCGGGGGGCTCTTACATGGAAGAAGTTAATCACTGCACATCAGCATTTTAAGCAAAGAGATTAACCCTTATCCAGTCAGTAGCATTACTGATCAACAGACAGATAACTAGCATCTTCTGCACAGGACCTGCCCTGTAAAGCTTGGGTTTAAGGTAACTTACTCCACTGTTCTCATACCTACTACACAGGGCAGCCCTTTGTAGGCATTAAGAGATGGAAACAAAGGGGTGACATTATACATTCATTTAAAAATGGTTTCCTGTTACACGTCCTGCTTATCAGGTTTTTAGGTTTCTCATCTATAGAACGATCTGTTGCGCTTTTAAAATTGCCCATCCATGAAACAGTTATTATGTACCTGAACACCTTTCTACGTTTTGCCAATGCATGTGTAGTGAGAGGATTGCTCTATTTTTCTCTATTTTTCTTTGGGGAGGAAGAATTGCGATGCTGACAGTGATCCTGCGCTTTATCCATGCAGGGTAAGGCAACAGGTTCACTTTAACTTAAAGTAGAATTTAAAGTGACACTAAACTCAGGAGTCAAATCTTAAAAATGCATTCAAGTACCTTAAAGTGACATTAAAGGCTAACATTTTTTTACCTCCCCCAATGTTAATTAAAGCACTTACCTTAAATGATGTCTCCTAATCCGATCTTCCTCTTCTTTCCTGTCCTTTTCAGCCTTCTCTCCAGCGCTGCTGCGGGTCTCTGATCCAGCGCTGACTCCTCTGTCCTTGCTGGCACTTCCTGTCCCACGGTGTCTGCACGCTGTCCATAGACTTATCTTGTGTCTCTCCTCGTCTCCCGGCCAAAAATCCGAACTGCACATACGCTCGCCCCAATATGCTTTGTGTCTGCCCGAGAATTTTCGGACAGTAGCGCACGGCGAAGACACAATTAAGTTTAAACCGCTTAAAGCGGTTTTTTTAGTTTTTTTACTTTTTGCATATATCTACTGCTTGCTACCATGGGTACCAATATTAGCCACTTCCAAAAGAAAGGACAATGTCAGCACAAATTCAAAGATGATTTGAGGATCTACAGTCATGCAGAAACAGTTTTGTTAATAGTTAAGGTACTTGAATGCATTTTAAGGTTTATCTCTTTAATATTGGGTTTATTCAAAATGCAAAGATCAGAAAGTTGGGATGTACATGCATATGTACTCCATTAATGATGTCATGGAATTTCTCAGATTGAGTTTGCAAATGGTGACTGGAGTGGACCATACCTTCATAATGTCAGTTGAAACAGCCTCTTGTAGTCTCCATCAGGAGTTGGTGTGGCAGAGTAGCAGCACAGAAGCACATTTGGTATACAAGGACAAAACGTTGTCACCTTATAAAAGAAGGTAGTTGAACAGGTACCTTCATGGCAGACTCCCTTGTTCCAATAAAAGCTGTGAATTTAAAAATACTGAAAAGTACTTCTGAAATAACATCAACATAGTAAAGCCTATCTAAGATTTTTGATGTTGGGTTTAAATATACATTAACAAAAAAGGTTTATTGGGAGTATTTTCCAACACAGCAGACAAATTGCTACCAATTAAATAATTTTAGTGGTTAGCACTTCTGCCTTGCAGCACTAGGGTCCCTGGTTCAAATTCCGGTCAGGACACTATCTGCAAGACGTTTGCATGTTCTCCCTGTGCTTGTGTGCGTTTCCTTTCACACGTTTGCATGTGAGATTGGGACCTTAGATTGTAGGCTCCTTGAGAGCAGGGACCGATGTGAAGCGCTGTGTATATTGTTGGTGCTTTATAAACCTATAATATAGTACCTGTAATAAATAAATAAACATCAAAGTACATGAAAGTGAATCTTTGTTTGCAGGCCTGAATACTGTTAGTAATCCATTTTAGTCAGTCACATGAAGTAACTTCCTACAAATGTCAACACAATTTCATTTGAAAGTTTACCAAGAGCAGTAACCCATAGCAATAATTATATTTTATGTTTATTGTTTTGGGGCTTTTGCAATTAGGCACCAGCCCCCGTACACTGTAAATGCTGGCGTGTTCCTGATAGCAGAGAGCCCCAGGTGCAGCGTAAAGCTTTATATTAAAGTAAATGGCTGTACTATGTAAAGCCACATATGTGGCTGGTGCCTATGTGCAAGAGTCCTTGAAGAGTTTATTTTTTATTTTTTATGAAAGATGATTGCTGACAGGTGCTATTGATTTTTCTACTTTGTAGATTGTCTTTTCTTTATTTCCCAGTCCTTTAATTATGTTAAATGCACCTGTCACCGGTCACACAAAACTGCGTTACCATTAGTACCATTAATATTGTTCCACCCTAATCTGTCACGGCAGCCCCCCAAAAACGATGTACAAATATCGACTTCTGAAAGTTGGAAATTCTATATTGCTAGGCACACTTAAACACCCACCTCCCTCATTCGACTATGCTCAGGCAGTGTCATAGTTCACACATGCACTGCGCTCTGCATTGAGGGAAGGAGGAGGGAGCATATACATGTGCCCCATACCTGCCTGTTTTTTAGGTGGCTGCCACAGCAGATTAGAATGGCAGGCACACTAAAGGTACTCTGTGGCTGTGGATATTGCCTAATATGTATCTGCTAGGTCACTAATGGTGTGATTGTCTCAAAGGTTTGCTTTAAAGCCCAACTGAACTTTCAGTTTCAATCAGCTAAATATATACCAGGTTCATCAAAGCAAAATGTGTTCAAAGTTTTACTGTTTGTTTTCTGTGGAAAGCAGACATAGCCTGAATAAAAAAGCCTGCTCCTGTAAGCATGCTGTAGAAAAGGAACCTTGCTCTCGGTGGAAGCAGTGATCTCTTTGCAGAGGTACGGCATGCCCCCTGCCGAGTCAAAGCCAGAGCTCTCCAATCAGCAGGCAGTATGAGCTATGCTGATTTCAGAGCTATAGGTCAGATTTAATAAGGGACATGTCTGAGCTCCGCAGGGAGAGCACTGTTTCTGTTTTCCTACAGAGAGCAAGGGTCCCCTTCTGCAGCTGCTGGCAGAGGACAGGCTTATTTATTCATGTTGTACCTGCTTTAGAAAAAAAAGAAACTAAGAAAGAAAACGATCTGTACGACATTTAACGCCTTTTGTTATAATGCACATGGAATGTATTTAGCTGATTTAAAGTAAAAATAATTGGGCTTTACATATAGCTTACAAAGGGGACAATGAACTCCAGAAATCGCCCCACGCAGCCCACTATGCTTTCTGTGCAGTGGACTGTCTGCAATGGCAATACCTGGTGTCTGCACTCTCCCAGCGGTAAATAAAAGCCTGTATTTCCTTTGCTCAGAACATGGTTGTCAGGCTCCTTTTAGACCACTAAATGCAAACAAGAGAAGACAGGTAAGCAACGAGGTGGCCCATGTTATTACTGAGCTGGTGCATTTTGCTACAGGGTGCCAGTAGAGCAGTGCTATGGGGGACTGTGCATCCTCACATCAATTTCTGTCACTTGCAATCTAGTTGTTTGTGCTGTAAGCCGGAATGCAGAAAGGAGAAAGAGAAATGTAGATGAACAGGCTAAATGAATGTGGAATTCAGTTTATTTTAAACCTGCGTACCCCAAGGGGAGGGGAAGGCACTGTGTATACATCCTTCTCTGTCACTCTCTATCACTGTCACGCTGTAATGTGTGGTTATACAGAGCTGGCAGGAGTAGCAGCGGAAAGCCAAAAGGCACAGGCTGGTTTTATTCCTCTCCGGAAGCGCTCCCAATGTCATACTACTGCAGTGCTACCTGTTATTATGTGTGCGCATATCTAGTCTAGATTTGCACTGTTAACTCCTCGCTTTATCTTTCACTTGCTTTGTTTGTTTCTTTGTTAAGACCTCAGGAAGAATTTCGAGAAGGAGCCTGTGTCGAGGGAAGTGTCACTGGACCAGGAGGTGACTTTGTTATGTCAGCCACCTGAGGGGATTCCTCCTGCAGAGGTGAGCTCTACAAACGTGTCACTAAGCATTACTCCCCTGCGCTCATCCCTTTCACATAACAGGATGTCAGGGGGAGTGCGTGACAATTAGTTGTCTTGTTTCCTGCCATCTATCACTTCACAAATTTGCAAGTGACTTTATCTGCTCTTCCAACAGACAGGATAATATAGATTATTTTTGTAATTATGTAAACACTCTGTGTTATCACAGATCAGATAAGCCCAAATTGTGAGCTTATTAAAGGATGCCACTATTTAAGGGCAATGCTGTGCATAGTTAGTTTAGGTTTTTATAACATTACTGAATCATCCCTTTTTTATGTTTTTTGTTGGTTATTGGCTAAGCAAAGCTGCACAAATAAATGTCATTATTATAGCCCGGTTTGCTCAATTATGGGGGGCAACTTGATTTTCTTGATGGATGTTCTTTGTTGTTGGCTTCTGGTCCCCCACAATAATTCCAGCCCCCGGTAAGGCTTGCATAAAGCATATGGTTTGATGATAAGCACATTCATTTTTATGACACGATCATTCTACAGATCAATTATTATCTTCTGACCTTCATCTCATGTCTATAGGCCACATTAGTTCCCCTCTTACTAGATCTCTACCCAGAAGCAAAAATTGGTAAAGGACCTAACCATCTTCTATTAAACATGGCTGGTGTTTTAATGATTCTTCTTCATTGCTAGGCACTTTTTTTTTTTTTTAAGTACATGTGAGAGTGTTTCCTTTAATAAGCCACTGTGTAAAGGGGAGGTCTGGAAGGCAAACATCTGGAAGGCAAACACAACCAATTGGCCCTTTCATGGAAGGGACCGTCTCCTTTGGGCTAAAGAAAGACAGCACACAGAGTGGCTGTGGTACTGCAGTGATTTGTGGCCATGATGAAAGGTGGGTTTTAGAGAACATGGTTTATTGTAACACACCTTTTCACATATACAGTATATGCCAGAAAAAGTGGATTGCAGGAAATGAATTGTAAACAAGGAAATGCTATATGTGCTGAGGAAGATGTCTACTGTTCAGTAAAAGTCATATGAACTCATTTAAAAAAAACACTAAATAAAATATCATGGCATCACAAATAATCAATATCATTCAGCATTCTTTAATTTATAACACATTTACAGTTTTGCATTTTGAGATTCCTGCGGCAGGAACCTATGAATCCTGTGGCAGGAATCCCGGATTGCAATTTAAAAGAGATTGCTGTCACCCATTTTAGGTAATGATCATGCATCCAGGTACAGTGATCTATTCCTAAGCTCCTGTAATCATATTACATACAATTATATGCGGAGTACCAGCAGACTGCCACTTTCCAATGCAGCCGCTGTCACATGATCAATAACTTGAACAAGTGATAGCTGCCACTTCTAAACAGCATATTTGGGATTCCTGCTGCAGGAATAACAAAACGCACCTACTATTTAGGTGTGCATGAAGCCTTAGAGGCTTAAAGAAAAATAGATGATGGAATATTGCAAGTCTTAGCTTGGAACATATAGCTATATCACACCCAGCAGCTGTCACTGATTGCAGATCCAACTTTGACTGAGGTCTTGATTGGGGAGCATCTCCACTTAGGGCCACCAGCCCAACATACATTATTTGTACCAGTCCTCCCTTGTCTTGTACCTTGATTTACTGGTTAGAGAAAATTGCAATTTAGTAAATATCTATGCTTACCAATAACATTATTCCAGTACAAAGGAAGGTTCACCATAAGGCTTAACTGATGGCAAGTGTGAGCTGGCTTACTCTTCAAATTCAAGCACAGACGACAGTCGCTCTAGCAAATTGTGCAGATTAATAGCTGCAAATGACTTGCAGATTGGCTTTGTGCCTTGTTACCTTCATTCGCAGAGCATTACTTGCTGCTTAATCCTGAAACTCTCAAAATAAGCTGTGTGCATATCCATAAAATGGAAAGATCCAAAAATGAATTTCATTTTATATGCTATCAAAGGAAAGGACGTTTCTCTAATAAGCCCACTAGAGGCTCAAACAGCAAAACAGAAATAATACAATAGAAAAGCATGTGATTGAAATGGAATGCTACTTTATACATCACAGCATATATTGTGAGTATACATCTGGTAAATAAAAGAAAAATAAGTTATTCTCAGGCCACCACACTTCAGCAGCATCACCGCTGAACCTTCTGTACTTATTGTAGTTACACATAGCACACTTAAGAAATAAGGTAACGCAAGGAAAACTGAACAACACAATTGATAAAGATGCACAACATAATTAATAGAATTACATGATAAAGATTTTCACTGTAAAGAATGCCCAAAAAAACCTTAACCAAGCTGAATCCAAAGGAAGAATTCACATACAGCTTTAGCTAGCCATTATTTTATATTACCGGAGCTTAACAATGGACTCGTTGATTTACAGCACATATACTGTATATGTAGACCTTGACTTTCTTTATGCAAACCTTAGAATCCATTGTGGGAAACATGTAAAACACATTTCGAGTTACTTTTTTCATCTCTAAATGTGCAGACATTATGTCTTTTACAGCAAATAAAATGCCCATAATGCACAGCAAATATAATTTAGAGAGCTTAAAGATTTAAACTGTTCACTAATGCAATTACTTTTAAGAATGAACTGAAAGAAAGATATTCATACCATTGTCATATAAGATAAAGCCATATTTTTTTCTGAAGCAGTATTTTTTTCTGGCTTCAGTGTGCTCATCTTTGAAAGGCATCCACAGAACTCAGGAAAGCCCATTTCAGTTTCATTGAGAAAAAAGATATTTCCTGCTTCGGGAAAAATACTCTAATGTGGAATAAAATAAAGGGAGCTATAAACACATAAAAGAAACATTATTTTTTAATAGAAATATATTCACTCAGATTAAAGACACATGTTAAAATGACTTGTGCTCAAATGAAAATGTGTTTTTTTACATATTTTCTTTTATTTGTTCAGTGCTAAAAAAAAACCACAAAGCATTGGGTAATGCAGCTGCCTTCAGGTGATTGGACACTGGTAAAACAAAGCTGTAAGGTCCCATATTATTCTACCCCTCCCAACCAGCGTCCGTTTTTTCCTAGTGTCCTCAAGTGTTACAAACATATTCTCTCTGCTCTGAGAGGAGATATCTGCCTTGGGATTTTCTCAAGATAATTCTACTATCGAGTCTTCTGGCTGCTACATAGCCATTGAGCCTTTTTGCAGCTTCCAGATTAGTTGACTTCTCGGGACAGTTTTGGGGTATTGTACCTGGATCCCGCCAGATGAAGGTCGGTCTGTAATGCTGCTTCACCCACTACATCATCCCACTAAAGGCATTCATGGTGCAACATGATGAGTTATCTGTAGGGTACTATAAAGGTTCAGGGCTGTGGCACTTCCTGTCTAGCGGCCCTGACCCTAAACACCCCTTTGAGGGTGAAGATCTTTATGGGACAGCTGTGCCCTGTGTGGACCCCACAGTTCTGAGCTCAAGTTCTCAAGAGGTTAACTAATGGAGTGCTGGCTGCATCACTTTTGGTCACAGCTGGCAGCAGGAGCAGATTGGCTGCACTACATTTTGTAATTGGTCTATAGTGTTACTGTGCAGGCTTCCTCTTCATTTTGTAATTGGTCTATAGTGTTACTGTGCAGGCTTCCTCTTCATTTTGTAATTGGTCTATAGTGTTACTGTGCAGGCTTCCTCTTCAGCCCAGTACCGGGGCTGTCCTTGCAGTTTTGTTGTGCCGGTGTCTAATCACCTAAAGGTAGCTGCATTACCCAATGGTCTAAGAATAACTGGAGCCTGTGTGCTGTAATGTACTCCAAGAAAAGGATTTTACAGTTATGACATAGGTAGAAGGTGAAGACTAGGCTTCTTTTGACTTGGTTTCCTGTTTCTTCTAACTGACTGTTGTGATAAGCTCAAACTAAAACACAAGTGTATGAGTCAGAGCTGTGACTTAACCCTTATAAGGTCTGAGCTTTCAGTCAGAGAGAGTTAGCCTTAAGGCAGGGAGCTACTGCTGTGCTGCCTCTTTAGCTAACCCGTAGTGCACTCGCAGTCCTTGGTCATGTAATAATGACATCAGATGACAGCTTGTTCTTATGGTGCATGCGCAGTATTCACTAGCAATACTAAAACCAGTTATAGGTCATTATTATTATTTTATTTTTTTGCATAGCCAATGGTGGCATTTGATTTTCAAACCTATGCTTAGTTGCTTTTCCTTTCTTATCTGCATTACAAACATTATACCTGGAATGTGATTGGTTGCTGTAAGAATCACCTCCACTTTGCTAGAATTAATTTTCATTAATCGGTCATATTTTTACCTAATCCCAGCACTACCATGCAACATACATTCTTAATATACTACCAGACTGGCTTTAGAGCAGGGTAAACAGTTTTTACAAGTCTTGGTGGCGTAAAATCAGGTGTCATTGCATAATCCTTGCAAGTGACAACAAAACAGTAAAAGTGAGAACAGACTAGAAACTATTAAGCAATACAGTGCTTTACATTTCAAAATGATAAAGAACTATCTAAACATCTAAATTGATTTTCCCTTTGCTATCATTAAAACGTCTTCATTGACTTCAATTCAGTCAGTTCTGGTATTCATTGCATTATCATTTTGTTACTCAGAGCAGCATTTTAATTAATTACATTCCTTGGTAGACAAATTGGTCCTATGAATGCAATATAAGTAGATCCAAATGGGCTAAGTATTTCTGAGTGATTGACTTTGATGTGGTATTTTGGCAAAAACAAAAAAGCTTAGATAAGCCTGGTAGATGTTTGCAAAAGCACACTCCAGCATGCATTTTTAAATAGGTGAATAACAGTGAAGAGCTTTATCGTGAAAGGAAGCTGTGCAGAAATATTACTTTGATCTTTAATAAATAGGACCCTAACTGTCATTCTGATCTCTCCTTCTGATCTTCATATTCCAGTAGCCGATAAACACATAACAGGTTTGGACTCACCAGCCTTACAATTTACAATTAAATGAGTTATCTGGTATATTGCAGCTATGAGTAATGAGTACTGCTTAATGTATAATTTTATTCCATCTGTATACTTTTTTCTTCTTTTTTTTCCATGTCTAATCTACTCCCATACTGTACCTTTCCTCCCTTTTTCTGTATTTTAAGGTGGAGTGGCTTAAGAATGAAGATGTATTGGATCCTGAATTGGACTCCAACCTGTTCATTGGGACAGACCACAGTTTAATTATAAGACAGGCTCGTCTAGCTGACACAGGGAACTACACTTGTGTTGCAAAGAATGTAGTTGCCAGACGGAGGAGCAACTCAGCGGCCATTACTGTGTTTGGTGAGTTTCCTGCCTCATGATTCCATATGTGAGAGAAGAGGTGGGATAGTAAAATTTAAAGGTTTTAATAGGCTCACATAAGCTCTGTTAATGGGTTTGACAAGCTATTTATTCAAGGAAAAATGTGTTTTTGCTTTTTTAGTCTAGAGATTGTAAGAGAGGGGGTACCTATCAAGCTGCTGCACCAAGATATTTCAAGTAGGGTAAAAATGAAAAATAATTTTAAAGGCATTCTCCACTTTGGATTGTAAATTTGCCCCTACTCAATACTCCTCCATGTAGTTAGAAACAATTGCATGTAAAAGCTGGACCTTTGTTCATCTGTTGCTTGCATTCCATCAGAATGGGAATAATAATACCCTATAGTAAGCCTTCGTCTCTTTATTGTATCACTCCAGTTGCATGATTTTTGCTGATTGGATCTTCTGCTTTACACAACCAGGGCCATCTTTAATAATACTTGGATGCATTATGCCTTATTCATAATATCCATCTCTGATCCTCCACTGGAGTCATAGAGCCATATGGCTATTTAGCCTACAAAAAGAGAGCTGGTTCTTTTGTCAGTTTTACTATTTAAGTTATTAATTAGTGTTCAGATTTGACCAGGCACCCTTTCGTCTGTAAAATATGATCTCGGTCATATATGTGCATGTGCTTTTTCCAAGTTAATGGAGGTTGGTCATCATGGACAGAATGGTCTCCGTGCAGTACAACCTGTGGAAGAGGGTGGCAGAAAAGAAGCCGAACCTGTACCAACCCCACACCTTTGAATGGAGGATCATTTTGTGAGGGTCAGAATATCCAGAAAACAGCCTGCACAACCCTATGCCCTGGTAAGATTGGCTGCCGTTTCCACATTTTAGACTTATTTAATAGCTGTGCGAAGCAACATCCAACTTATCGCACAATGGCCTTCAAGTTTAACTCTAGCCAAAACCTTTTCTTTTGTTTTAAATATAATTGGGAAGGGTTAGGGCCTCTATCAAATTTTTATTGTCTTCTGTGCCCCTTTTGGAGAGATTTCCCATCACAACTGGTCAGGACAGGAAGTGAAGGTAAATCACTCCAATGGGGCACACATAAAAAGAAAAACATATTATATTATCAAGACTAAAGAATAGATCTTTGACAGTGTTCTATTGTTGTCTGTGCCTTCCTGTCCATGTGTCAATATCACCTTCCATTTTTTCATAGGGGCAGGAAGTGTGGGAACATTTCCCAGGTGAGGTCACAGCTAGATATTACAAAAACCTGATAGAATTTCTAAGTCTTCCCTAATCTTCCCAAAACTATAAGACGTTGGGCTGGAGTTAGGCTTTCATTTGTCTGGACACTCTAAACTGTGGAAAGCTGGATTCAAGGATTACCAATCAGAAATCAGCAGAAACTAACTTGTAGCCTGACACAAAATGATTATAAAATAATCATATTTATGACAGGCTGCACATTCAATTTTGCTCTGTCTCAGGATGTATGGACATGGCACAGGGAGAGAGCATGATGGATAAATTGCTGCTCAGACATAAAATGCTGAGCTTGATACAGTGTGATAATGGAGCACATGATGAGAAAAGTGCAGGTGTGTAATAATAAAGAACCAGAATAAAGCATTCCTATACTTCTTAACAATGAGTAACTCAGTGGAGATAACTATGCATCTTGTTGTAATGGATGGGAAATGAGACACCTTAATGGCAGTGTGAGAGATTAGTTTATTCTGCAGAGAGACAAGCAAGAGAGAAATAGCAGTGCAGGTTGTAAGGTGGGTTGGCTCGAATATATATAGGAAGAAAGCCCCTGGAAAAGTTAAAAGTGATATGCAGTATATGTGGGTCTTAGTACTTGAATAAGAGGGAGAAACTATTTTAGGGTGCACTACATGTTTTCAGTGTGTATTTGATTTTGTTTTGCTGGTTGGTAGTGAGCGGAGGATGGACTGAGTGGAGCTACTGGTCTTCTTGTACATCAGACTGCACCTACCGGAGAAGTAGAGGTTGTACTCAACCTGCTCCACGCAATGGAGGGCAGGAATGCCCAGGACTTGACACAGAGACTCGAAACTGCACCAGTGAACTCTGCATGCACAGTAAGTGTCACCACACTTGTATCCATAGTAAGTGTCACCTAGTGCTGTCAAAAGCATGCCAGATTTGAGGTCCTTCACTATTTAGCTTGATTTGTCTAAGATACAAATTAAGTATCACTTTCAATAATTACACAGTGTAAGTGAGAGGCCACAGAAGTAAAGACAGGCTTATGTGACCTTCTTGAGTGCAGGTTATCACATGTTGGAAACATCGGGATTCTTTACTGTACTCGCCCTAGAATTTAACAATTGACAAAATCGGATACAAAAATTCAGGTTGACTTTATTTCTGGCAATTGGAATGAGGGCGGAGTCTTTCATTTTCCGATAAAGAAAGTTTGTTGCACTCCTCACTGGAAAGCCCCGTATTCGGGGAAGGGTGCTTGGAATGGATGGATGGTGCAGCAAATTGCATATGGTATAGGAGAGATGTCACCAGCACACCAGATTCTTTCAAGGGTAATCATTTGTGAATTTATTGAAACACTCATGTCAAATAAACATTGATTATCGTTGAAGGCATCTGGTGTGCTGGTGACATCTCTCCTATGTCTTTCATTTTCCATCCCTGATCATTAGAGTTCTGTCTGGCTATGTCTATCTGCAGAGATTTCAGAAACAAATACTGATCAGCATTTTTACCCCCATAGCCAAAACCTTTTTGGACAGTATTTGGAAGGTTTAGAACCTCTGCCAATTTTTTATTGCTGCATTTGTTCCCATTTGGGAGACTTCTTACATTCTATCCATTTGACAGACATTCAGATATTCAGACATAACAGGGTGTCTGACAGAATAGAAAGTTAGGGGAAATGTCTCCAGAGAGGACCCAGGCAGCAAAAAACAAACAAACCACATTATATAGCAGAGTATAGTAGCAGAGCGAGTAAGTATATAGTACATAGTGAGTATATAGTAGAGTAGGTAAGATTTAGATATTACGTCATAAATGTATTGCTATCTGTGTTCCGATGTACTGTCCAGGTGAGAGCTGTCAGAAGAAGAAGTAATAGAAAATCTTTCCAAAAGGGGGCACAGAAAACAATAAAAACTTATGTTATAGTAGCATTAGAATGGGTTAGAACCTCCATCAGTATTTAAAATCTAACAGAAACATATCCTAAACAGGAATACAGACATAATTTAATGCTAAAGTCCAGCCTTACATTTTTAACCACACTTGTAGTAAGTCCTCTCCTGTGTTGAAACTGAATACAATCAATTCCCCATGAACCTGCATCTTCACAATATAACCATTTGAAGATGTAGTAGCTATCTTGAGCCCACCTTCCTTTCCTCCCTGGACATCCTCCATCATCCTTCCATCACTGCTCCCCTGATCCATACCGTCTTGGTTCCCTCTCAAAGCTTTTATGTTTCTCTGCCATCATTCGTTTGTTTCTAATCATCCCCATCATGGGGAAGAACACTTTCCCGGCATCACTTTAACCGTGCCTGCAACCAGTCAACTAATCAGCTGGCTGCACAGCTAAAGTCAGCAGAGCCCAGTGGCCAGCAGGGACAATCAAGCATATCTAAAAGAATGCTGGGGATGTGTTCGTTCATAAAATTCTTTAAAAAAAGATCCTATGCAGAAAGCTGGGATTTTTGCAGGAGCTCACTAAACCCTGGCAGCATACAGACCCAGTGATTACAACACCTGGCCTCAGTACAACAGATATTGATTGGCATACAGTGCTAATTTACAGCTTTTTATGTCTTTTTCTGCATGAAACTTTTTGAAAAAAACCCAACATAAAACACAAATCCTCCCCCAAGAAACATGGCTACTGCTTCCATGAAGAGATGAAGATTAGTCCATTTATTGAAATATATTTGCCACTAATAGAACAAGTTATTAAATATAGTCTCATTCGCCACAGAAGTTCTAAATGAATTTGTCCATCTGCTGCCGGTAACGCATTGATTTCTGTCCCTTGTTCGGTCAGTTCACTCATGATGTACAGTATTTTATCCTGACTTCAAAGGGAATTGAATCTGCAAATATTCTATACTTATTAACTTTGTTCCCTCCATGGAATCTGCTCTCCAGAGACGTAATTTCAGCTGCGAAAAAAAGGGTGATGTTTCATGTTTCTGGATCAAACCACAGTTTTGCTAGAGGCATTCCTCATAACTTAAAGATCGCTAACTCCAGGCTGCGGTTTCTTGAGGTACTGGGTATTTCATTTAGGCATCAATTTTGTTGTTATTGAAGTCATCAAAGATTGCAAACATATCACTTAAGAGCATTGGATATGCATTCAGAAAGGAGAAATAAATATGGAAGACTGTACACTAAAGAACATCACTGATGATATTGTAAAGAAAGGTGAAGTGATGGGTGCAGTATTCGGTACTAGTGGGCTATTAATCAAAGTTGCGTCCCAGCAAACAACCGTTACATTGGTTTGAAATTCACCATCAATTTGGAAAGTGAAATTAACTCTTTTGCTACCAGAGCAATCTTTTTTTCTTACACACATATTAAACTCTGCAATATGAAACTACTTAAAACCCCCAAAACATTATATGTTTTCTGAAAGCTTTTAACTTTATTGCTATCGCAAGGGGGCTACCAAGCATTGAGCAGGTGACATGCTTTTTATGGAGGCATCAAGGGTCCCCTAATGTCCCTCCTGCCCTCTGCTTCAGGTAATCAAGCACAGACTTAGTCTACTGTTTACCCACTGATTTTGACAGCCTGAACCCAGAAATTCTCAAAGCTGAGCGCTTACTAGTTCACATTCTGCAGAGGACTGGTTTGGGGAATGGATATTCCTTAATATTTCTGCTCACCATCCTGACAACCTTTCTTGTGGTCCCTGGCTCCCAGAGGGTAGGGGGGGGAGGATGGTACACCGCAAGTGCTATAAAAGTAATAGGGGTTATTAATCTTCAGCCACCTACAGGTAGATCACTGTTACCTAACAGTCCCGATCCTGCTTACAAAAATACTAATAAACTCATGGCTGTGGCTGTATTGCAGCTTGCCAATCCTTAGATGCTTTTGTTTTCTTTTTTTTCAGGCTTTTTTCTTTAGTTTCACCCAGTGATCCTGCCAGTAACACACTTCCTGTCCTAGGGTGATAACACTGCTCCTCAATAGTTTTAGTACAGTGAGTGAGCATTGTCACCCTAGGCCAGCAGGTGTTTTTGGACTACAGAACACCTCTCCTCTACTATCCTCTACAAAATAGTTTGTTCTGTAGTCCATAAAGAGAACTGTGAACAATGCCTACTGATAACTTCCTGTGCACTCTACCTTACTGTTATCAGCTCACAAGATTTCTAGAGTCAATAGGTATTTTTTTACTTATCAAACCGATATAACAAAATGTTTTAATGGTATATTTAACAGACCAAAAGGGAGCAAATGAAGGAAGTTTATTGTCGGGGTTTCCATACATTTTTACTGCCAATATTTTCTTAGATGTAGCTATCTGTGAATCATCCTTATGGACAAACAAGGAGCATATAGCCATAAAGAATCATGATTAATTAATTCAGCCATGGTAAAGTTAAGGCCAACTTGACTTAAGCTAGCTACACATATAACAATTTCCATCAATTTTAACCACTGGGGATTGCAAATATGATTGAAAGCAATCACAAGAACTTAAGAGTTTGATTGACCCCCAGAATTTGGTCAAGCGTTAGGCCAAAACGTAGCAATAAATTGACAGCTTCAATAAAGAATAAAATGTATAATCAAATTGAAATTGAATCAAAATGGAAAAAAAAACTACAACAATCTTGTAGAGTGGTCTACAATTTTTGTCACATTTAATCAGTGTTATTTCTATCTCAATTCTTGCCAGAAAAAGCCGCCATTTTATGTATTTGATTGCTTTGCTTTAGGCCTCACTTCTGTTAACAAATTCTTCTGCAGATATGGCTATACACATGCATAGAATGCATACAAACTGAACAGATGCATGTGACTGCATTTTCCCTACTGAGTATTTAACTGGATCGTGAATGGGGGTGAAAGATGTGTGTTCCCCGTTACAGTCCTGGCAATCTGCTTCCCCAATAAGAGTAATTCTACCAGGGGATTCTATCTGCATCCACTTCTTACAACACCGCTGACATCACAGCCTTGCTTTAGCGCCAGTATGCAATTCTTGAATCAAAAGTTCATGTGGTGTGTTCAAAGAGCTGGGAAGCTTATTCATAATATGCAACACACTGTACAGCAGTCTTAGAACACCTTGACCTATTATACACCATGGCATTTAGTCAAGAGATGCTTTTGAACAAACCACAAAGACTTGTGCTCCAATTTCCACTCAACCTCTCCGCATTCCAGCACTGTCCATAGCCTCCTCCTCAGTCCAGATCTGCCAGTCCTCTTTGGTCAGAACAACAGTCATGTCTTTCTGCTCATTTCCCATTAACCCAACCTGTCATTTACACACTCTCTAGGGCTAACAATACTCCACGGTAAATCCTGGAATTCTGCTTCATAGGAAATCTATATTGTATTTTGGCCAATTAATTTTTAGAAATTTTTAAAGTTTACATGTTTATAAACTGTTTGAAATATTTTTAATTTTTAACAAACATTTAAAAGCAGGGTTCATGCAAGACCCTCATGACACTAATTAAAAAAAATCAGTACTGCATGTTTTCTTTCTACCAGATTGTGTTAATTGACTAATTAAGACATCACATTCTCTCCTAGCAGATAGAAAGTGAGGTGTCCTTTTTTGACTCATTCAGGTCTTATTTTAAGCAATAATCCCTATCTGAGAATTCAGAGAAATCCTGTTGTTTCTTAGATCGCCATCTTCTGTCTGAATATGGTAAATATGAAATAATAATGAAAAAGAAATAAAGTATTTCCTTTTTGCTCTTTCAATTCAATGCAAAACATCTACATTTACATATTAATATTTTTTTTTCTAGTAATGTTTAATTAAAAATATAAATTATTAATATAAATTACAATAAGCTGCTCTTATTTGTTCCCGTTCGGTCTGCTAAATATAACATTTGAAAGAATTTTATTATATCTGTTCAATAGGTGAAAAGATTACCTATTGTCCCTGCCAGAAATCTTGTCAGCTGATAACTTCCTGTGCTCTCTACCTGTTCTGCACGCCTATCAGTAACATTGTTTCTAGCTGTGTTTATAGACTACAAACGTGTTATGGAGAAAAATAAAGGGAAAGTGTTCTGTAGTCCTGTCTTAGGGAGACAATGCTCCTCCTCCATAGCATGGTGAGTGTGTGTTGCTACTCTAGGACAGGAAGTGTGCAACTTAAAGAATTACTATGTGAAAATAAAAAAAGAAAGAGAACTATTGCAACCACTCCATCTGAGGATTAGTAAGCTGCAATATTTTATAATTTTGTTCTTGGGTTTAGATCTCATTTAAGACCACTATTTTTTTGTCTCTTGGGTCGCCTTAAGCTTGCTATTGTAAAAAAAGATGTTTCATTTACCTGGGTAGTTCATTTGTAGCCAGCCAGCTTTACATTTGCCTGTTCAGATGGTATCTGTCTTTGTAACCCCTCTTAAAATATTTGCTTAGTTTAATCAGTGATAATTTATGATCTATCTAAGCAGAAAACAAGCCAGATTCAACAAGGATAAATCATTGCCTAATGTCTGCTGTAGTGGAAGAGTTAAACGACTTTTACAAATTAATTAATTCCCCCCTTAAAACTTAATGCTGATTAAGGTCCCCCCAGGGACTGGATTGTTGATTTTTCTACTAGCTAATTCATTTTCATGCAGCCCTAACCATGACTTTGAGCGCTGGTAATGTAGGTGTGTTCCTTACATTGCTAAGTTACTTGAAGATCAGGAATAGCAGTCTGGAAATTGAGACAAACGTTATCAAAGCAAATTGCAGGTACCATTTCAGGCTGGTTGTGGGTTGGCTGCTGCAAATCCATGGTCTCCTATTATTTATAAATGGAAGTAAGAGATCCCTGATGTAGCTATACCTTTGGACCTAATGCACCTTTTCCCCCTCTCTGTGATATTTAAGTGCAGGAGCAGCACTATGAGGATACAATAATGATTCTCAGGCCAATCTCCAACTATCTCTCATTTGAAACTCCCCTTTACTTCTCAGTTGTCTCACTGTTTGGTCTGACATATAGATGTGTATAAAAAATGCACAATTAAACCACCAAAAGTATTAGACTACACTAAATCTTCTATCCAACCTCTAAATGATTCTACTTGGTTTTTTGGTGGGGGGGTTGGTCTATTATTTTCTTGGAAAACCGGAGAAAATAAGCACTTATGGATTTAACCAATCTTTTTTTGCAATGGTGTATCCTGTACTTAAACAATTTTGCATACCTCCCCACTTTCTGAGATGATAAAAAAAGGAAACCTTTTGGCACAATGTATTTATGCAATAGACACGCCCCTGCCATGTCCCCAGATATGCGAACAGTTAGCATTTATATGCCAAAAAGTGTTGCTTAAGCCCAGAATTGTTGTTTTCCACCAAAAATATAAATAAATTCATGTGACATTAAAATAGAAAAAAATCATATTCTGAGCATTATCGTTATCTATAAACCACATGCGACATATTTATTAATGCAGTTAATCTGACATTCACAAAACATTCACTGCAGGTGAATCTTCCAGATGCATGGATTTTAAATGACAGTGAATGATTCACCACTAGTGAATGTTTGTTGAAAATCACATTCAATGCTTTCTAAATAGACCCCCAAAGTGTTTAGAATACAGTAGTTTTCAAGACAATGGTCATTAGAGGCAATGTAAGGCAGTGATTGGTGCTAATTACTCAGATTTGGACACCAGTGCAGTGCAAAGAAAATGTAATATAGTGTATACAGCAGTGTCCATCTCTCTGATACAGGTAAATTCTTGAACAAAGTACTGACATTCCAGATCAGGAAGAGGAATGCATATTTGCTTAGCTACCTGTCAGATCTGATCCTAAATTACAGGCAGTGCTTACAGGGCTTTCAGCTGTAATGTTCACAATGTAAAGTATAAACGACACTTTGAAAGCTTGTTTTGTGCTAGGCTGATGTTAGATGAATGCATTGTGCTCAGTGTGTAATGCCATGGTTTACTAGCAGGGTGGACCACAGTATGGTCCAGTCACATAGGAATGTATTGGTGCTTCAGCCACCCCATGTGATAGAACCACAGAGCATATCATTTGTTCTAGTGTGAGAAATGTGATTTGGAGGCTCTGCATGCCATACATATATAAAAGATTATGTGAAGCAGTGGTGTTGCTGATATAACTATTTACTGTGAGTTACGTACAAGGAGTACACCCTACCGCTCTGTTCCTCTGTTTTTTATCCAAGTCACAATTGTGCACCAGTCTGTACCATTCCCTTTTGCTGGTAATCTTGAAATCCCAAAAGTGTACCATTCATCATTTCTGTAGTACTCCTTCTTGCATTTAATTTGTTACCTGAAATGGTACTTTCATCACTCGAGTACCAGTCTGTATATATCCCTTTAAAAGCAGGCCATTTTCAGTTTTCCTCACTGTGATAGATTGAGTGACATTTACTCGGTCATGGAACACTGTCCCCAAATGAGTATTATATCATTTTTTTAGACAGATAGAGCTTTAATTTGGTGCTGTTTAATAAACTTTAATGTTTTTTTCTATATAACATTAACATTTCATATATAAACATTATACATAATATTTTGGAAAAAAAACCTTTATAAAACATATACATATCATATCAAACATAAGACAGTAAGAAAACCATTAACATTACCCCTTTATAGAAAATAGACCCCCCAATGTGGTCTAATTTTTGGCACAGTTGTTTTGGAAATGAGGAAACATGGTGATATTGAAATCATTAAAACATGAAGGTTGGATAATGGTGCACCCTAGTTACAGTGCATCATTAATGTAAAGGTCATACACAGAGGGAGGCTAGGTCATACACACCATTAATGAGTACACTGGCTGCCCATGCCTTTTTCCTGTAGTGATGTCTGCATTGCAGAAATAAACATCCACCACTTTGCCAATCAAACACAGCAGTAGTGAAGTGATTAAAGTGTATCTAAAGGTAGAGCGGAATGCTGGAAATTGGGAATGCCCCAGCCACAACTGATTGGGCTGAGAGGAGGGGCGTCACTGTCACTAACAGAATTGCGTGGGCTTGGATGAACTCGGACAAACTGGGTTCCCACCAAGCCCACACACATTACTATTCTACAGAACAGTAAATAAAGGGAAATCTCTCAAAGGGAACACAAACATTCGATAGGGGTTGTAACCATTCTCTACTTTTTCCAAAATGAATTAAGTTTGGGCATTAGATAAAAAGTATATCTGCATGTGTTCTAAAACTCAGTTACAACATTACGGTATAAAAATTAAAGGCTGGTTTCACTTTCAGGTAACTATGTCTTCTGCAAAATAATTAATTTTGTCTTATTTCCATTCCTTTGGGTGCTGCAGCTGTGGGCGCTCCCGAGGACGTCGCCCTATACGTGGGAGTGGTGGCAGTGGCAGTATTCCTAGTGCTGCTGCTAGCCGTTATATTGGTGTGCTGGCGTAGGAAAGAAGGTCTGGATGCCGATGTGGCTGATTCCTCCATTCTAACAGCTGCATTTCAGCCTGTCAGCCTCAAGCCCGGCAAAGCAGGTGAGGCCCCTCGGGATAACACAGCATCTACAAAATGTATTCTGTTGTTATTAGAGACATTTGTTATGTTTAGCAAAAGCAGTATGTGTGTACTAGTAGCACACACTCTGTGATTATAATACCAGAGCAAGATAACATTAGGGAAAGACAGGCAAAAATTGTAAGTGCTCATTGGCTGGCTGCCTAATGTTAGCTTAGACACGAATTAATGCCTTTAAAAAGTCATTTTGACTTATTTAGGGGGAGTCACACTAATTTCCTCCGGTGTTCAAATTAATGGGACTAATTGTCTTATTAAAATATATTATTTTGACTTATTTAGGGTGGAGTCACACTAATTCCCTCCGGTGTTCAAATTAATGGGACTAATTGTCTTATTAAAATATATTATAAACATATAATATATACGACAGATACTTTGCAACACAAAGTATTATATTATGGGGGATTCAGTGTTACAACTTGTGTTAATTACAAATGTCAGCATCTTTTTCTCAGTTAATGAATTCTCATGAATTTTGCATCATTTCAGTGAACCTATAAATAGTAAGTGTTTCACCCTATCACTCAATGGTGGAAGACAGCGATCCACTCCAGAAATCACCACATGCCACATTGTCTGCTATAGACTGTTCTCCATCACACTTGTAATGGTATAGTAGGAACCCAATTTCAACCTTTTCTGGGTAAAGGCAGAATTCATTACCTTAGTAGAAAATGCTGCCATTTTTATTTAAATCATTGCAGAATCAGAACTCTGTTACTTTGTAATTTTGCTAGGGCAGGTCAGAGAATGATGGAAAATATTTTATTGGATGTTATGGGCAATACACTTATTTTCCCTTCTGTTTTTCTTATATAAAACATCTTTATTTATGCTCTACAATCTTAGTGGTATTTATAGATAGAGAAGGCTCCACTATTGAAACTTACTTGCCTCCAAAATGAATGCTGTACACAGAAAGGAAATGCTAAGCAACTTTCCCTGTGGCCTGAATCACGTGATATGTAAAGAATGCCAAAGGACACTTTCTTACAGAAAGCAGACCTTACTGAGGTAGCCCTAGATGCTTTGTTGATGGGCATTGAGCTTTTGTTGATGGTATCACTTTGACATCAGTTTAGGGTGCTTCTGCGATCATTTAGAATTCACAGATGGGTGCATTTGACACGCAGTTGACCTCTTTTTGACCTGCATTTGACCTTCTTCAATAGGGTTTTGCATTCCTATAGACTCGAATAAGAGTGCAAGACTCATTTGAAGTGAAGAAAAGCCCATGGGCGCAGGTCCTTGTACATATGCAACAGGAACAGGTATCCACCACTGAGGGGTTACAAGGGTTGGGAGTATTAAATGTAGCAGGTGGTTATTGAGTGTTTAGGGAATATGCCACCTTGTGTTTGGAGGAGGCATAAACGTGCACCAGGACCTAGGAATATAAAGGTACACCTCTGGGTATGGTTATTGTGTATACTAATTAAATAGACCTATTCCCCTAAACAACATACACAAATATTCCTGCATGTTCTAAAGAGAGAAAGTTAAATTTAGTAATCATTATATTTTTTAAACAACTGTATACAAATAAAAATGAAAAACTAGATGCAGCCTTTTCTTATTTGAACTAGGTCAGGCACACCTGCTGACCATTCAGCCAGATCTTAGCACAGCCACGATGACCTACCAAGGATCCTTATGCCTACGTCAAGATGGTGGAAATAAATTTCAGCTAACCAATGGACATCTTCTGCCACCTATGGGACCAGGTATACCAAGGGAACATAGCCACACTTTGCCACGTCTTTCCACACAGACCTACTTCCGCACCCTGCCTCGTGGATCCAACAATATGGCATATGGAACGTTCAACTTTCTAGGAGGACGTCTTAAGATCCCAAATACAGGTATGTACTAGACTTGCTGTCTTCTCCACTGCTGTAATAGCTGCAGACCAGACACAGAGAAAACATTTTTACTAGACTTCAGACTGCTACACTGAGTAGAAAGGACTCGGCAATTGAACACTGCCTCAAAAAATTATCTGAGCTTGATACCAGTATTGAGTCTGTATTGTATTCATTATATTCATTTTTAAAACTATATATATATACATACATATAGATACGAGGTGTGATCAAAAAATACAAGGAAAGTTTAAATTTAAAAAAATGTAATTACAGTAAAGTACACATTGCCATTAATCCCCCTCAAAATACTCCCCCTCGCTTCAAACGCACTTATCCCATCCTTTTTACCACTTTCTAAAGCAATTCTTTAAGTTCTCTTTTGTGAGTGTCTTTAGTTGTGCTGTTTTGACTGCCTCGTTGTCCTGAATCAATTCAAAACGTTTGCCTTTCATGGTCATTTTGACTTTGAAGAGCCAGAAGTCACACGGTGCCAGACCTGGTGAATAAGGTGGATGAGGACACACCGTAATGTTTTTATTTGACAGAAATTGCCATACCAGAAGCGATGTGTGACATGGAGCGTTGTCACACTTTAAAGCACACCTATTTTCAACCATAGCTCACAACCGACTGAACAAGTTGAAACTTCTCACACACTGTTACTAAGGTTTGATGCACCGCTTATCATATTGAAGATCCCTGCCTGATTATTGGATAGCACTCGGCAGCAGCATTCACAGTATTTTTCGATCACATCTCATATATATTATACATATATGCAATCAGTTTTGCATTTGTAAAAAAGATAATTATTTAATAGTACTTTTGTACATATCTCACAAAGTTTTATTCTGAAGTTGTCCTAGCTTTGTATTTGTTTGGGATTAAATCTAGATTTATTATATTTATTTTACCAAATCAAGAAAACAATTGGTTGGAGATAGCCTTGACGCGTATTAAATTTCTTCACATAGCACCCTTTTATGCATTTAAGTCTGTTGCCAGCGTAATAATCTAAAAATACACCAAGCTAGTGTACTCACAATGTGCAGACACAAAGGGAGGAAAAACTTTGTGATTAGTGTTAATAAACTGAAAATTGCAGTAGGCACAAATGACAGGTATACCTGAAGTTACTGGTATGTGCAAAGAGATACTGGACACTTATGACTACTTTGTCTTTTTTTCTAGCATATATGAGTGCTGTGTGTACTGACTGGCCTGCCTTTCACTGATCTGCCCTAACTTAAACACCAAATCTAGGCAAAACAAAATCCCTCTCATACCTCGCTGATTGATCGCTGGCAAAAACAACCCCCATAAAACAAAATTCCCATATTACTTGCTTAAAGCTGTCACGTGGTGTTTGGGTCCAAAGCCTACTGCAGCCTACATACAGCGGGGTCCTTCTTCAGGTGTCCAATTCACTGCCTGCCGGATGTGGGTACTTCCTATTGGTCTCACATGACTTTAAAGGCAGAAGAACTACCTGGGGGCGGTTTTGGGACCAGTCCTCGAGGCTCAAACAGATAAAGAGCGGGTAAAAGTGCCTGGTCCCCAGGGCAGAAAATAAGCTTTGCACACAAAGAAAACTCTGACTTTGAGCAATTACACTATGCTATGAACTAGATCTTGGGTTTAAAGTAAGTGCAGACTCCAGACATTTTACTTATAAATAGATCTATGAAAGGCATAGCAATCATCCAGCAGTACAGCACTGCTTAACACCTGTCAATGGAGGAAGCATCTGGCGGGAGAGGTAACCTGTACCTGCCTCCTTCACCTTTTACCTCCATCCTTATAGCATTACAAGTATCCCCATTCGAAAATGTACCCTCACCTCCTGTTCTTGTGACAGTGGGACACAGACATTAAAACTGTATCCAAAAGTTTTTTTTAAAAATACACTTCAATAAGCGTTAAGTATTTTATCATGTGCTACAAAATACATGTAAATATTTAAACAGCATCACAGAGTTTCATTTTCAATTAAGTTATCTTTTAATTTATTAATACACATGTGCTTTAAAGAGTTCTAAGTGCATCATTTTTCATTATGTGTGTTCATTGTCAAATACAGCATATGTGCAAAACTGTGCATATGGCCGTGCATTAGAGCTAGTCTGTCTATTTTACCTCAGGCCTTAGCCTGCTTATACCTCCAGATGCCATTCCTCGCGGAAAAATCTATGAAATCTACCTGACACTTCACAAACAGGAGGATATGAGGTAGGTCCCTAAAGATGTTTTGGAATGTATCTGCTACAGGAAGAAAATGTTTCTCAGCACATTATTTTTAACATTCTTTGGCTTAAGTTTTTTTTTTTTTTATCGAATCAAAACTAGGATCAGCTATGTTACTGTATCCAAATATAATCTCTTCTATCAAACATACCTCTTACATTGCCCCAGGCAGCTTTCTGAATTCCTTCTATATTTCCCTAGGAAGCAGAGAAAATCCAGCTTTTCTATTTCTTCTATGCAGATAATTGAATGCTATTAATGCTTTATTTAAAAAGTGAAACTGCATCCAAGCAGTCTAAAAATGCAACACTTGCATTTTACAGTGATTCTTACAACTCTACAGTTGTCCATGGGTGCACTGTGACTTAGTATAACACTAATACCTTTAGTTCAGGCTTCATTTTGTAGAGGGCACTGCTCATAGGCTCTATATGTACTTAAAGAGACTGTAGGGACGATTCAATATAGACAGTGTAACACATTTTTTGGCATTATCGCTGTATATGGAAGTCTTGCGCCAAATTTATAGAAGACAGTTTCATAGCTCCTTCTGACACATGCAACATATTTAGCTAGTTCATAAATGCAACACTTCTAACAAGTGTGACAAATTCATTAAGAAATGACTGCCATTTCAGAAATGAGGAAGACCACATCAATGTTGGCTTTACAGAGACTGCTTTCCTGAACCGGCCAAACCAGAGTGCTCAGAGTGGGGCTGCCTTGTCTATACAGTGGGGGAGAGGCCGTTCTCACACATATAGGCTGATTTTGTCAAGTGAAGCAGAATCAGGAAGTCAAATGGAAAACACCAGACATGTTTGATCATAATGACATGACAGAATAGGAGGAACAGTACCATAGCCTAAAGTTTTTACCTCCACACACACTTGCAAAACATATTTACAACTCACACATGGCAGATCCCTCCTCAACTAAACCTGGTGCTGCCGATCAGGTACGTACTGTCTTGTGGTTGATCTTGTCACTTTGTTGGTCCGGCCATGCAGAGTCCAGATTGAGTCCCAGGTAGAGCAGCCATCGATCAGCTGGACAAACTCCCTAAATCTTGCCATCTCTATGTGTGGAGTGGGGGCCCCTGATCAGACTGTCCAACTGGTGGCAGCTCGCAGCTGCGTCTGCCTGGCATGCTGTGTATAATTGCTCATTCACACTAGCTGTTAAAATGCATTGTTTTACCATACTGTCTGCTAGATAGCTGCATTAAGCTGTGGTGCCTTGCATTGTTGCAATGCAAGGCACTGCTTAGCTTTTTTTTTTAGAATTTTATTGGCAGTGTACATAGTGTACAGTACACTTCATTCAACGTCTTCACACAGCAGGGCCAGTGAAGTGACCTCTAGTGTCATCCAGTGACTATAAAAAAAAACAGCATGTCTCCATTTTTCTGCACCACACATAAGACCAGCATTGTGGTGTGAACGGGGCATTAAGAAACAATGGTTTTCAATGTGTGCTAGCAGTGACCTGCATTGATCCAATGCGAAAAAAAAGCAGATCACTGCTGTGTAAATGGTCCTAAAGGGGAGGTCGGGGAGAGATTTGTGACTCTCCTGTGCTGGGCTGTGTACATGATTGGAGAGATCTGTGTGATCCTCCTAGATTATGTGCCAGCCACTTAATTTCTGCAGTGCTGGCATGGCAGCTTAAAAGGGCCTCCTACTTTCCAACACTTTCTAGAAGATTGTACCACTCAAGCGATTCTGGTGCAACTTTGAGACAAATTCACGTACATGTTTCTTATAGGTACATAATTCTATCATATGATCCAACATTTGCCTTGTGGACTTGAAACACGAGTGTCTGTGTGCCACTCTTTATGAATGTCAGGGTCTGACATTTTGCTCATCCACCAATTAGTGGTGAGACACAGAATGTGTTTAGAACTATAGAGACATATTGTCTTTGTGGAGTCAAAAGAACTTAAAAACTTACTGAATGATGGCATCCTGTACCTCTCACAGTTGCATGACACATATGGAAGAATTGAAAGAATAAGAATTGTGAAGAACTGTATAGCCACTTCTCTTAAGCATGACCATAGCTGACAATGGGGGGGGAGGGGGCACAAACATAGCACTCCTCTCACACAACACTGACTCACAAGGGTGGGCACAGGAAACAAATTATTCTGGGTGTTGCTAATTTGTACGTTGGCAGTTCTCTCAGCTTCAGAAACTGGGACAAATTGTTAATAGATGGTATTAAGAGATCTAAGCCGCTAGAAACAAACTTTTTGTTTAGACTGGAATAAGTAAAGATGAGAAACAAGGAATTCAATGTGACATTTAATGACAATTACTATCACTAACTTCAAACAAGTAAATTATTTATTAACATACTTCAAATAGATATTGTCTGCAGCAATGCATATAGCCAGTCAGAAAACAGCCATCACTAATATGCTGCAAGCTGATTTGACTGGTTGTCATAGTTTCTCCACACCACTGCTTTTTGCACTAATGGGTTTATTCAATAAAACAGTGCAAAGAGCAGTTATGATGTGAAATGTACATTAGCCCAGAGAAAGCAATTATCTATTGCTTTACTCAAGTCAGTTTAGTGAAAGGTGGTTGCTGACTGGTGGCTATGCATTACTGCATTACTGCATTACTGCATCACTGCACTTTACACATTGTCCCTTGCATTTTGAATAAACCCAATATTAAAGAGATAAACCTTAAAATGCATTCAAGCACCTTAACTATTAACAAAACTGTACCTTATTTGTGCATGACTGAGATGTAGATCCTGAAATCATCTTTGAATGTGTGCTAACATTGTCTTTTGGAAGTGGCTAATTGTGTTCCCCAATGTCCCTGTGTGTGTTGTAAAGTAGCCACCACTCCAAGTTCACTCCCATGAGTAAACTAAATTAAACTAAATATGAGATTGTAGTCCATCACACAAGCAAGCTTGCTATTTACAACTCACACACACGGACCAGGGGGAACAAAAGTAGCCACCCTCCAGAAGGAAGGACAGTGTCAGCACCAATTCAGAGATGATATGAGGATCTACAGCTGAGTGATACACAAATAAACTCAGGGCTTTTCCCCATAGTTCTCCTAAGGGTAAATACATGTTAATCCTGCCAGAAATGCAGCATCCTTGTTACAACCTGAATTGAAAAAACAATTATATCTTTCTTCTATAAACTGTTAATTTTCCCAATCCCCCATATAATGGAGATTAACAAATTCAGACAAGTTTGAAGTCCAGTCTAAGTAACAACCATGATTCCCTGCATAGATACAGTGAAGGATTGACCGTAGTCACCCAGGGACAGGAAATGTGTTATTTGCAGGTTACAAGGTGAAAATAAAGGCCAGAATCCCTGAAAAAATAAAGAATTGTAATGCAACTTCCATATGTAAAGTTGGCTATAGACTGTTAGATTTTATTTTTTCAATAAAGAACATAGGCTGAACAAAAATATCTAACAGTTTCCTCCTTAAATGCTAAACAGCATGAATGGCCACTGTTCAGCTAAGATTTTTCCACCCTGCTCCTTAGATTTTCTGATCAAAGGGATGTCGAGCGGAAAGTTGCCCACTGGACCACCCACTGAGCAATTGTTGGTCAATTCACTAAGAACTGTCCAAATTTCACTCAGTGTATGGTCAGCTTTATGATTGGTGCAGTGCAATATGTGATGTTTTTGTTTTATGTTTAGATATGCTTTAAGGGCAAAAAGCACAACTTTACTTTACATTTAGTTGTCCGTAAATCATTGATGTAACACAGGAGCAGAGCTGTTTTCAGATATCATGCTGCCCTTGCATTAAGGAGAGATTAGACTGGGAAATAAAGGTCAACATTAAACAAGCCAAAACTGATCGAAAAGGTCAGCATTTTATTTATGTCACATGACTGAAAGTGATGCAGACAATCATGAAAGCCCTTACATGTTTTATTGTTGCACAATGACAGTTTTTACACATTTTTAATACAGAAAAAAACATCACTGGTTATTAAATAATTTATGTTACATGATGGAAACTTCTCATATGAGCTTAAATAAGCATACATTAAAGCAGATGGCATCTTTAACAAAAAAACTAATTTAACCACTCCAGGAATAATTATCTTGTTTACCAGCAGAATAAAGCTGGCCATTCAACGGTGGATTTTTGTACGAATTTTCTTAATACAAAAAAATGTCCTCACAACATCAGACAAAGTCATCAGAGACTTGATGAATGTCATTCAAAATTTAGTTTGATTTTAACAGTCGATTGGAACTAGTGGAGTTTCTAAAACAAAAACCACATTCACTGTTAGAATTTTGTTCGTCTGATCCTTTGATTTTGTTTGTCACTGTGGTAGAAAACAACCATCAATCTGACCCCATTAACTATTAGAAAATCAAACCAGCGTTCCAAAAACACATTTTGTTTCAACTAAATTCTGCTGGTGTATGGCCAGCTTAACCCTTTCGCTGCCAAGGACGTATGGCATACGGACCTACAAAAGTGCTTCCAGCTGGCCAGGTCAGTATGCCATACGGACCTGGCATTTACAGTTCTACTATAAGCTGATGGTCGCTTAGTTCACAAGCTCTTTAAACACTTTACAGACATGGCAGTATTTTGAAATAAACTATTCCCCAATAAAAAGAGCTTAAACTCATAGATGGAATAGACAAATGGCATAGGTAATATGATAAATACTCTAGACAGATAATACTTCCCTGTCACTAAGCATGTCTGAAAGATGGCATCCTTTTAAATAGGCACTGCTCCTTGTGTCATGTAATTGTTGTAGTAAAATGGAATGCTAGTATGTACTTTTTGAGACAGACTGCAGTCTGTTTCATATACAGAGTTACTTTTGAGTTGCACTCAGCACCAAACAAGGGAATAGAGAGCTTGCTGCTGCCCCTGCTGTCCTTGACACTGGTCCATTAGGGCCATCGTGTCATCGTGGTAAAGAAAGCCCTGCTCAGGAGCCCATAAAACTTACCAGGCAAACCTCAACTTCAGCTCTGGGATACCTACTCTCTATCAACCCAAAATGTAATGCGGGCATAGGTGTGTGTGCTATAAAAGTACAAACACACACACGTCTATATATATATATA